GAGGACTCTTTAAAGTAGAGACACCACATACTGATATACACCTGAACATCAGCAGGAGAGGACTCTTTAAAGTAGAGACACTACCTACTGATATACATCTGAACATCAGCAGGAGAGGACTCTTTAAAGTAGAGACACCACATACTGATATACACCTGAACATCAGCAGGAGAGGACTCTTTAAAGTAGAGACACTACCTACTGATATACACCTGAACATCAGCAGGAGAGGACTGTTTAAAGTAGAGACACCACATACTGATATACACCTGAACATCAGCAGGAGAGGACTCTTTAAAGTAGAGACACCACATACTGATATACACCTGAACATCAGCAGGAGAGGACTCTTTAAAGTAGAGACACTACCTACTGATATACATCTGAACATCAGCAGGAGAGGACTCTTTAAAGTAGAGACACTACATACTGATATACACATGAACATCAGCAGGAGAGGACTCTTTAAAGTAGAGACACCACATACTGATATACACCTGAACATCAGCAGGAGAGGACTCTTTAAAGTAGAGACACTACCTACTGATATACATCTGAACATCAGCAGGAGAGGACTCTTTAAAGTAGAGACACTACATACTGATATACATCTGAACATCAGCAGGAGAGGACTCTTTAAAGTAGAGACACTACATACTGATATACATCTGAACATCAGCAGGAGAGGACTCTTTAAAGTAGAGACACGACATACTGATATACACCTGAACATCAGCAGGAGAGGACTCTTTAAAGTAGAGACACCACATACTGATATACACCTGAACATCAGCAGGAGAGGACTCTTTCAAGAGACACTACATACTGATATACACCTGAACATCAGCAGGAGAGGACTCTTTAAAGTAGAGACACTACATACTGATATACATCTGAACATCAGCAGGAGAGGACTCTTTAAAGTAGAGACACGACATACTGATATACACCTGAACATCAGCAGGAGAGGACTCTTTAAAGTGGAGACACTACATACTGATCTACACCTGAATATCAGCAGGAGAGGACTCTTTAAAGTAGAGACACTACATACTGATATACATCTGAACATCAGCAGGAGAGGACTCTTTAAAGTAGAGACACGACATACTGATATACACCTGAACATCAGCAGGAGAGGACTCTTTAAAGTGGAGACACTACATACTGATCTACACCTGAATATCAGCAGGAGAGGACTCTTTAAAGTAGAGACACTACATACTGATATACATCTGAACATCAGCAGGAGAGGACTCTTTAAAGTAGAGACACTACATACTGATATACATCTGAACATCAGCAGGAGAGGACTCTTTAAAGTAGAGACACGACATACTGATATACACCTGAACATCAGCAGGAGAGGACTCTTTAAAGTAGAGACACCACATACTGATATACACCTGAACATCAGCAGGAGAGGACTCTTTAAAGTAGAGACACTACCTACTGATATACATCTGAACATCAGCAGGAGAGGACTCTTTAAAGTAGAGACACTACATACTGATATACACCTGAACATCAGCAGGAGAGGACTCTTTCAAGAGACACTACATACTGATATACACCTGAACATCAGCAGGAGAGGACTCTTTAAAGTAGAGACACTACATACTGATATACATCTGAACATCAGCAGGAGAGGACTCTTTAAAGTAGAGACACGACATACTGATATACACCTGAACATCAGCAGGAGAGGACTCTTTAAAGTGGAGACACTACATACTGATCTACACCTGAATATCAGCAGGAGAGGACTCTTTAAAGTAGAGACACTACATACTGATATACACCTGAACATCAGCAGGAGAGGACTCTTTAAAGTAGAGACACTACATACTGATATACATCTGAACATCAGCAGGAGAGGACTCTTTAAAGTAGAGCAACGACATACTGATATACACCTGAACATCAGCAGGAGAGGACTCTTTAAAGTGGAGGACACTACATACTGATCTACACCTGAATATCAGCAGGGAGAGGACTCTTTAAAGTAGAGACACTACATACTGATATACATCTGAACATCAGCAGGAGAGGACTCTTAAAGTAGAGACACTACATACTGATATACATCTGAACATCAGCAGGAGAGGACTCTTTAAAGTAGAGACACTACATACTGATATACATCTGAACATCAGCAGGAGAGGACTCTTTAAAGTAGAGACACTACATACTGATATACATCTGAACATCAGCAGGAGAGGACTCTTTTAAAGTAGAGACACGACATACTGATATACACCTGAACATCAGCAGGAGAGGACCTCTTTAAAGTGGAGACACTACATACTGATCTACACCTGAATATCAGCAGGAGAGGACTCTTTAAAGTAGAGACACTACATACTGATATACATCTGAACATCAGCAGGAGAGGACTCTTTAAAGTAGAGACAACGACATACTGATATACACCTGAACATCAGCAGGAGAGGACTCTTTAAAGTGGAGACACTACATACTGATCTACACCTGAATATCAGCAGGAGAGGACTCTTTAAAGTAGAGACACTACATACTGATATACATCTGAACATCAGCAGGAGAGGACTCTTTAAAGTAGAGACACGACATACTGATATACATCTGAACATCAGCAGGAGAGGACTCTTTAAAGTAGAGACACTACATACTGAATATACATCTGAACATCAGCCGGAGAGGACTCTTTAAAGTAGAGACCTACATACTGATATACACCTGAACATCAGCAGGAGAGGACTCTTAATAAAGTAGAGACCGTTACAATACTGATATACATCTGAACATCAGCAGGAGAGGACTCTTTAAAGTAGAGACACGACATACTGATATACATCTGAACATCAGCAGGAGAGGACTCTTTAAAGTAGAGGACACTACATACTGATATACATCTGAACATCAGCAGGAGAGGACTCTTTAAAGTAGAGACACTACATACTGATATACACCTGAACATCAGCAGGAGAGGACTCTTTAAAGTAGAGACACTACATACTGATATACATCTGAACATCAGCAGGAGAGGACTCTTTAAAGTAGAGACCTACATACTGATATACACCTGAACATCAGCAGGAGAGGACTCTTTAAAGTAGAGCACTACAATACTGATATACATCTGAACATCAGCAGGAGAGGACTCTTTAAAGTAGAGACACTACATACTGATATACATCTGAACATCAGCAGGAGAGGACTCTTTAAAGTAGAGGACACTACATACTGATATACACCTGAACATCAGCAGGAGAGGACTCTTTAAAGTAGAGACACTACATACTGATATACATCTGAACATCAGCAGGAGAGTACTCTTTAAAGTAGAGACACTACATACTGATATACACCTGAACATCAGCAGGAGAGGACTCTTTAAAGTAGAGACACTACATACTGATATACATCTGAACATCAGCAGGAGAGGACTCTTTAAAGTAGAGACACGACATACTGATATACACCTGAACATCAAGCAGGAGAGGGACTCTTTAAAGTGGAGACACTACATACTGATCTACACCTGAATATCAGCAGGAGAGGACTCTTTAAAGTAGAGACACTACATACTGATATACATCTGAACATCAGCAGGAGAGGACTCTTTAAGTAGAGACACGACATACTGATATACCACCTGAACATCAGCAGGAGAGGACTCTTTAAAGTGGAGACACTACATTACTGATCTACACCTGAATATCAGCAGGAGAGGACTCTTTAAAGTAGAGACACTACATACTGATATACATCTGAACATCAGCAGGAGAGGACTCTTTAAAGTAGAGACACGACATACTGATATACATCTGAACATCAGCAGGAGAGGACTCTTTAAAGTAGAGACACTACATACTGATATACATCTGAACATCAGCAGGAGAGGACTCTTTAAAGTAGAGACACTACATACTGATATACACCTGAACATCAGCAGGAGAGGACTCTTTAAAGTAGAGACACTACATACTGATATACATCTGAACATCAGCAGGAGAGGACTCTTTTAAAGTAGAGACACTACATACTGATATACACCTGAACATCAGCAGGAGAGGACTCTTTAAAGTAGAGACACTACATACTGATATACATCTGAACATCAGCAGGAGAGGACTCTTTAAAGTAGATACACTACATACTGATATACACCTGAACATCAGCAGGAGAGGACTCTTTAAAGTAGAGACACTACATACTGATATACACCTGAACATCAGCAGGAGAGGACTCTTTAAAGTAGAGACACGACATACTGATATACACCTGAACATCAGCAGGAGAGGACTCTTTAAAGTAGAGACACTACATACTGATATACACCTGAACATCGGCATGGAGAGGACTCTTTAAAGTAGAGACACTACACACTGATATACACCTGAACATCAGCAGGAGAGAGGACTCTTTAAAGTAGAGACACGACATACTGATATACACCTGAACATCAGCAGGAGAGGACTCTTTAAAGTAGAGACACTACATACTGATATACACTGAACATCAGCAGGAGAGGACTCTTTAAAGTGGAGACACTACCATACTGATATACACCTGAACATCAGCAGGAGAGGACTCTTTAAAGTAGAGACACTACATACTGATATACACCTGAACATCAGCAGGAGAGGACTCTTTAAAGTGGAGACACTACATACTGATCTACACCTGAACATCAGCAGGAGAGGACTCTTTAAAGTAGAGACACTACATAGTGATATACACCTGAACATCAGCAGGAGAGGACTCTTTAAAGTACAGACACTACATACTGATATACACCTGAACATCAGCAGGAGAGGACTCTTTAAAGTAGAGAGACTACATACTGATATACACCTGAAACCATATCTAAATATGAGAGACTGTAAAATAAAACCCACAATGTTCAAGGTTGTTTATCCTTAAACAAAAGTACAGGTTTAAAGTCCTTAAATAACACAAATGTCCCCCAGTGTAAGGGATAACAGTGTTAGGAATATATTGTGATGTATACTGACCTGAGTTCTGGGGGTCTCGTTGTTCTCCTCCATGCTGCTCTCAGTGCTCCTTCTCCTGCTGGGTCTCTGAAATAAGTATTAACACTACAGTCAACACAAAACTAATCTACAGCTAAGAAGTAGCTTAGCAGCAGAGGTGGGAAGTGCATTTACTCAAGTACTGTACTTAAGCACAAGTGTAGAGGTACTCGTACTTTACTTGAGTATTTACATTGTATGCTACTTCTACTCCACTCCAGTTCAGAGGTAAATGGTGTACTTCTACTCCACTACATGTATGTACCTTTAGTTACTTTACAGATCTGGATGAATGATGTGAAATATATAATCAAGTCTTAAATCAGACTTTAGTTCCACCTGGAGTAAATTCACAAGCTATAAATGAAAGCCGTTTTTTATCCTATGGGAACATGTGGTTTTGTGACAGTTCTAATAATGAATAGGCTACATAAAAAAATATAATAAGTAAGGCATTACAAAAATAAGCTGTTACAGAACAGGAACACAAATTACGTTGCAAAAATGATGGGATAATACTACTAATTTACTAAAAAAACAAAATATTCCTTTTCAATATACCAGCAGTTCAAACAAAGTGTTTTTGTTTCATAAATCAGGTGTCCATGTGTGTGTCCATGTGCAAAGAATGGAAGTAGCCGAAATAAAAAGCAAAACGGAAATGAATTCATTACCGTCTACCTTGAATATCTATATCTGTATTTCAAAATCTATTGTAAGAGAGCTGGTAATCCACGTTTTTAAAGAATGTAACCTGTAATCTGTTTACTCATTTTTGTAACGTAATTATGATCAAATATAGTTACCTTATTGTCTGTATCGTGATTAAGTCATCTCGTTACTCCCAAGCACATTCAAATCCCTTTATTTATGTTTAGCGATTAGCCACATAGCATAACAAGCTAAACACAAACCGAACCACAGGAGGCCTTAAATCCGTCCGAGGCAACAAAAGAACGATTTAACTGAAAACAGCTCGGTTAAAATCATCTGTAAGGATAAACTTACCCTTTGTGTGTGTTTTAAAAGTCTCTTAAACACGTTACATTGGCTATAAACTCCGTAAATCTGCATCAACGACTGTTAGCAACGTCTGATAGCTTCTGGGTGCTGTATCCTGGCAACGGACCACCGCGCAATGCATCATGGGGAGTGTCATTTCCTAACCTTTCAGTGGAGACTACAAACAAAGACACTGCCGGCTGGTGGTGAATAAATGAATAAAGAAAAGTATGAAAAAATAGATAAAACAACTGGAATTAAATGAATAATAATACATAATAATAATGATAATAATGGTAATAATAATAATAATAATAATGATGATAATAATAATAATAATAATGATAATAATAATAATAATAATAATAAATAATGATAATAATGATAATAATAATAATAATAATAATGGTAATGATAATAAAATATAGAAAGATACAGATTGACAGAATTGAATATTTTTTGTCAAATGTTTTTTGTTTTGGAAAATAAATGTTGCCATAAAAATAACTTGCTCTGTAATTATTATTATTATTATTATTATTATTATTAGTATTAATATTATTATTATTAATACATTTATAAATTCTTAGTAATTAATGAGTAATACATTGTTCAGAAATGTTCGACATACTGCTAAAGGCTACATTTATTTAAAATATATTAATTTATTAAAGACAATGTGTTGTATTTCTGATAGTGAACAAGCTGCAGAGAATGATCAGCAACATCTTAATAGAGTTTAATAATTTGATAATAATTATGAATCTAGCATGACAGACGACAGACTTATCTTTCAACTTTAAAAAAAAAAGTGGTTCTAGTAAACAAAAGATGTTGTCAAATGATTTTGAAAAAACTCTAAAAAAAGAACTTATTTCTTTAAAAAATATATACGTATTGTAAGTTATAACTCACAGGACACGTATATACAGTATATATATAGCCAAAAAGAATATTTGGGAGTTGATATAACCTAAGCAAAAATTATTTTTTCAGCCCTTTATTAGGATATTTTTCTGCAGAATAAGTGCTTTTGATTATTTGTGTGTGTGTGTGTGTGTGTGTGTGTGTGTGTGTGCGTTGTGCATGTGTGTGGTGTGTGGTGTGTGTGTGTGTGTGTGTGTGTGTGGTGTGGTGTGTGTGTGTGTGTGTGCGTGCGTGCGTGTGTGCTGCTCTGCATGGATGAGGTGTGAATGGGTGAATGACTCAGTATGTAAAGAGCTTCGAGGGGTCGAGGAGACCTGATAAAGAGATGTATAAGAACAGTCCATTAACCATCTCCTTCATGAGATCAGGAACCAGTGGATAAAATACATTCAGCTAATAATGAAGTTGCAAAACAACTCCTAAAATATATATTTTTGTTCAGGGTAGACAGGGGATTTATTTTCAATGTTGATAAAAGCAGTGTAAGATCAGCTAAAGGACATAATATGAGAACAGAACAAATTAGGTGATTCAACATGTCAGGTATTGTCAAACAGCGTTCATGTTGCATCTCTGTCGCTGTAGAGGATGAACCACAGTTTGTCTCCAGAGCTCCAGGGCTTCAGATCCTTCAACTCCATGTCAGTTGGAGGATAATTGGAACACAAAATCACAGATTTACAAGCATAATCATTTAATCATGAAATAATTAAAATAATAATTCATTATTTTTTAATATTCTTATTCTTTAACATATAATTAAGTGCTGAATGAAACAAATAAGAAAAGGTAAAATGCAACATACAGTGAGAAAACAAGAAAGACTCACAGTGACATCTCTTCAAGCCTTCAGTTTGAAAGATCGATCCAATGTGTACATTTTGTTGTTGTTAACCTGCAGATCTAACCCCCAGTCTCCCAGATGTTTGTACTGCAGGAGGTTAAATAAGGGGAGAGGGGGAGGATGAGGGACGGAAAGACCAACAACATAAATGTAATATTTGAACACAAAATATGTCATGTCATCTACAAACACAGTGTTTGTAGATGACATGACATATTTTGAGCATGAACACAAGATAAACTGGATTCTAGGCATCTAGTCATTATGATGGTTTGAATATTGTGAGTGATATTGTTGACACTTAAAATACTCATCCAAAACATCAACATTACCTCAGTGGAAGTATTTCTGAGACGGATGTATTTGCGCCGTTGGTCGACATCGATATTAAATCCTGAGTGTGAGTTCTGATTCTCCGAGCTGACGCTCTCCTGCTGCTCCTCATCACTCTCAGTTTCCTGCACTGTATATCTAAAAGTTTGCACCTGAGAGGCAGACGATACACACAATACTCTTTCAAAAATACTCAACTAAGATGTTTACACTGTTTTATCCCTGCGTGTGTGTGTGTGTGTGTGTGTGTGTGTGTGTTTGTGTGTGTGTACCTCTGTCTTCACTCTGCTGTTCTCTGGATCTCCAGTTGACTCAATGTCTCCTTCAGCTCCTTCTCACGCCCTTAGGTCAACTGGTTTTCGATCCGCTAGCTGACAAACACACAGGTGTTGATTTCAACAGTTTTTTTTCAGTTGCTAACACACTAAAATCTCACATGAGGCATCATTATTTAATCTCACCCTCAAAGAGCAAAACCTGAGCTCAAATCTTCAAAACTCTAAACACATTTTCATCTCTGCACCCAATTTGTAATTCAACATGGCACTTTTAGCAAAACACTGCACACGGTTCTCTAATGGCGCATTTCCACTGCAGGGCCTCGCACGGTTTAGTATAGTTAGGCCTTGGTAGGCCAGGCTCACTTTATGCTGAGTTTCCATTACAGTTTAGGAACTGGGGTAGTAACTATAGTAACACAGTGTAGGCAGAGCCATGACATCATCTTCAATGCGAAACACAAAACCAATATCAGCCGTTAGCTGTTAGCACTCAGAGCTCACAGCTCCTCATATCTGTTCAGAAACTAGACAAAAGCTAAACAAGTACAAACCACAGACTGCCTGTGTCATGGCAAATACAGTCGCTGGTTTATTTATGTCTGTATAGGCCGTTGTTGTGAGTGTGGACGGTCGGAGCATATACTGCGTTAGCTTAGCTGATCTCCATTTAGAAAACACGCATTTTAAAAGGTTTTTCGCCTGCCGTCTGTCTGCAGACTTGTCAAAGCATTAATTCATGGTTTTTACTAACCGGTATCAGTATGTTGTTACTTTGGGATCATTTTGAAACTATGTAAAATATGTTCATTTTGTTGTAGTTGTAGTCCCCTTGCCAGTGATTCTCTCACTAGTTTAGCATATCCAGCCCGGTTGTTGGCCCGGAAAGAACCTGGATTTTGGAGTGCCACAAAAACTGTGAAACATTACCCGTTAGCCGGAACTACCCCTAGTGGAAACGCAACAAAAAACGGGCCGGGTTTGGCACGGCACGCTTAAACCGTGCTACGTGCTGCAGTGGAAATGCGCCATAAGTAAGACACAGAAATCTGACATATTCACTTGTTTGCCATTTTCAAAATACTGCCATTAAAAATGCAGAACCAAATGAACCAATCAACAAATACACATGCCAAATGACCATGAACACCAAACTGCTTTATTGTTGACTCAGCAATCAGGATGTAAACACTTGAACAAGGCTCCACATCAGGGACGTGCACAGACATTTGGAGGGGCTATCGCTCTGAACTGGAGAAAGGGCCTCTCCCCCCGATAAAAAACACAAGACCTTTTGAAAATTGTAACTTGTTTTTAATGTTAAAGAAACCAAACAATTATTACATCAACTAAATTGAACAGTAATTCACATCTCATAACAAAATAAGCTAAGGCGACTACTTGCATTCGGTAACTTGATTTTAAAAAACCAGGGACATTTTTTGTTTTGCGGTCTATATCTCATCAAAGATATCTAATGTTAGTAACTATTAAAGACAAAATGGGGATAATTCTGTTCTAATGTAGCTTGCCCATTGTAACTGCAGTCCAGACATACTGATAAAATAGGGCCTCTAACTAATTACCTTAAATAAACTCACTAATTAATTAAACCAGTTCAATACACATTATTCTTATTTTTATCATGCTTCATGAGCGCAGTAACGGTAAGGTATCTAATTACTTATTTATTTAGTATTCCATAACTTAGTAACAGAGATGGTCAAACTAAAGTAGAGACATGGCAGAAATCCTACAATGAAGCGGGACAGTGAGGTGTTCTCCGTGAGAGGGCGATCAAGAGAAGAGAGCGAGCGGCCCCGTTGAGGGAGTTTACAGATGAGAAGACACAGAAAGACAGAAGCACAATAACAACAAGTAGGCTATATTTAGGTGTTTTTTTGTAAATAACCGACGGTATCAAGAGGAAGTAAAGTCCCCTGGTTTGTTCCTTATAACCTAACTGCCATGATGAGACAACTCAAAATCAAGTTTCCAAAATCCGACACTGAGGTGGCCGCTGTGTGGATGGGCCACGCACCGGCAGATGACAGCGCTGACAAAGTGTGTTCCCGCAGCGAGACGCTAAAATACTAATTGTGGGCTTATCATGTTGATTCGGCCACAACAGAAAACAGAAAAACAAACTCTCGCTCTCTCCAGAGGGACAGGTCAGCCAGAAAGGCCAAACGGGCCGTTGCCCGGGCAACATTAGCCCATACCTGTGCACGTCCCTGCTCCACATAATACCTTTTTACAACAACAATGGATACATGGGTTATGGATAGCATCAAGAGGAAGAGGTAGAGGGAGGATGAACTGAAGTCAATTGAATAGTTTATTTGCAGCATAATGGTTAAAGCTGTCTTTTCCATTTACTGTATCTGATAGAGAGCATACTTTTGGTTTACACAACTGCAACTGTGTTTGCTGTGCATACATTTTGTTGTGGAGAGAAATACAAATGTTTTGTTTCAACAGAATATTGGTGTTTCTAAACATTTTTCTGTAGGGCATAATTTTCTACATACAGAAAAAAGCCCATAAAAGTAAGTGTGCTTGAGATTGAGCACCACAGTGTGTAGATAGTTGAAAAAAGCCTCTTGTGCTATAAATGAAGTGTGTGCCATTTGGTGCAAAAGTTGGGGTTCGATTAAGAAATGATGTTGTTTGTAGTGCAGTTATTCATTATATACAGGATATATACGTTATATATAATATATAGAAACTCAGATACGTAATTGTAT